GAGTTTTAAAGTCAGCATCTTAATGGGGAAACAAACACTAGAGGCATTTCCACTAAGGTCAAGAATAAGTCAAGAAAGTTCACAGTCTCTAGTACTTTTTAACATTATATTAGCACTATTAGCCAATGCAATTAGACAAGAGAAAACAATTGGAAAGGAAAATTGTGTTTTAACTGTTCAGTGACATGATCATTTACCTGGAGAACTCTGTAAGGATCAATGATAAAACTAACTCAGACAACAAAAGAATCCAGCCAGGTAGCAGTATATAAAAGCATGGCAATATCAATAACCTTCATATATAAAAACAGTTACCAGCTAGAAGATATAATGGAAGAGAAAACTTTCATTTAAAATAGGAACAGAAAAAATAAAATACTTATAAATGTAATGTATAAAACCAAGTGCAGTGTTTTAGATTGAATTGTTCACCACCTCCACCCCAAATTTGTATGTCAAAGCCCTAATCATAAGTCCTTCAGAATATGACTGAATTTGGAGATAGGCCTTTAAGTGAGGCCATTGAGGAGGGCCCTAATCCAGTCTGACTGGTGTCCTTATAAGAAGGGATAAGGACATACAGAGAGACACCAGGGAAATAAGTGATGTTAGAAAACACAAGAAAATAGCCATCTGCAAGGTAAGAAGAGAAGCTTCAGGAGACATGAGCCCGCCAACACCTTGAGCTCAGACTTCCAGCCACCAGAGCTTTGAGTAAATAAATGTCTGTTGTTGAAGCCACCCAGTCTGTGATATTTTTTTATGGCTGTCTGAGCTAATACAAGAACTATGGAACACTCCGAAAAGATACAAAAGTAGCCTTGAAGAAACTTTCCTGGGTTTTAAATAGGACATCTGACATCATCAAGATTTTCTTACTAAGTTAATTTATAAATATAATGTGACCCTCAGTAAAGGTACCAAATCTCTTTATTCTGGAGGTAGACAAGATAATAACTAAAGTTCATAGGGAGGAGTAAGCATGCAAGCAGAACACTGAAAAAGAACAACTGTGAGAGGGGACTAGCCCTATCAGATATTAAAACATAAAGCCTCTATAATTAAAACAGTGGTAGCAGGGCACAGACTAGAATAGAATCGGATGGAATGTCTAAAAATAGACTCTAACATATATGGAACTTTATGAGAAAGGTGGTATATCCAATCACTAGAACAAAGAAGAGCTTTTTAATAAATGGTGTTGGGGCAACTGGCCAACCATTTGGAAAAAGATAAAATTAGATCTATTCCTTGTAGTATAAATAAAACTGAGCTACAAACATATCAGAGATCTAAATAAAATAGGAAACTTCATATGTACTAGAAGAATGCATGGATGAATTCCTCCTTATGGGTGTAGGAGAAGCCTTTTTATGATCAAACTGCATACGCAATAAAGGAAAATATTGGTAAATTTGACTACCAAACATAAAAAAATAAGCTTTACATAAGGAAAGTCAAAAGAGAAATGACACATTGCAATAAAATATTTGTAACATATAAAATGTCACACAGGCTAATATCTCTAATATATATATTTTTTCTTTTTAATGTTATTTTAAATATTTTTTAAAATATTTATTTTGAGAGAGAGACATTACAAGCAGTGGAGGGGCAGAGAGAGAGCGATAGAGAGAATCCCAAGCAGGCTCCCCGCTGTCAGCACAGAGCCTGACGCAGGGTTCAATCCCAGGAACTGTGAGATCATGACCTGAGCAGAAACCAAGAGTCGGATGCTCAACCGACTAAGCCACCCAGGAGTCCCTATATATAATGAAAAGACAAAAAAATGGGCAAAAGGCACACGAAGACCATTTACAGAAAAATATATTAAAATGTCCCCTGAAGTACATGAAAAAATGATGGACTTTCACCGTAATAAGAGAAATATAAATTGAAATTGCACCAGAAGGATGCCTGGATGGCTCAGTCGGTTAAGCGTCCGACTTTGGCTCAAGTCATGATCTGGCGGTCTGTGAGTTCAGGCCCCTGGTAGGGCTCTGTGCTCACAGCTGGGAGCCTGGAGCCTGCTTCAGATTCTGTGTCTCCCGCTGTCTCTTCCCCTCCCCTGCTCGCTTGCATGTCCACGTTCTCACTCTCTCTCAAATAAACATTAAAAAAAAATTGCACCAAAATATCATTTCTCACCCATCCAGTTGTCCAAAAAATCAAAACTTTGACAAAATAGTTGTGGGGTTGTGGGGGGAAAATCGCTCTCTTACATGATGGGTACTTGACAATAACAAAGTTGTATCTGCATTTTCAAAACCCAGTATCTCTACTTCTAAGAATTTACCCTGAAGATAATCCTTTAACAATACTGCAGTGTATATACATGGAGTTATTCATTGCAGTATTATATGTGATGGTAAAATAGTGTAAACTACTCAGACATAAGAGATTGGTTGAATAAACTATGGTGCTGTACAAAGTGCAAGAGAGTCTATAGAGTGGGCTACTTTCCTTTTTAGTAATAAAGACAAAGTAAGAAAGCACATATTTATCAGCTTAATTTTTTCAAGAAGAAATACAAGGATAAACCAGAGGAACAAAAGAAATTGATTATCCTCTGAGGAGGTTAGGTGGGGGGACTGAGTAAACATCTTACTATATATGTATATATATATGGTATACATAACATTGGATGAATCCTACACACATAGTGTTGAACTAAAGAAACCAGGCACAAGAGTACATATTATATTATTTATATGAAGACTTGTGCATTTTATTATAGATGTGTGATACTCAATACAATTTTTTAAGTTTATTAAAAGATACTTGTGCGTATGTCAGCAGTGGCAGAATTCATCTTATCTTGATAATCAGAGGTGAGGAAAAAGTTATTTTTCTTTTTAATGATTATTTTTGAGAGAGAGAGAGAGAGCAGGAGCAGAGAAGGGGCAGAGAGAGAAGGAGACACAGAATCCAAAGCAGGTTCCAGGCTCTGAGCTGTCAGCACAGAGCCTGATGTGGGGTTCAGACCCACGAACCATGAGACAATGATGTGAGCCGAAGTTGGAGGCTTAACTGACTGAGCCACCCAGGCGCCCCACAAATTCTGTTATAAAATTATAGACAATGAGAGCTGCTGAAACAGGGACTCGGTTAAGGAGAGTGTGGGAGGGGCAGGGCAGGGGGTGGGTCCTCCGTTAAGGAGGGGGGGGGCAGGGCAGGAGGTGGGTCCTCCGAAGGGTTGAGACAGAGGATTGATTCAAGGTGCTGTGTCTGGTGCTGCATTTTGAGGACAGGGTTTAGAGGCCAGTATTTGCCCCCCTTTTAAGGCACCAGTCAGAAATGAGGCTATCGCTAGATGACCATGAGAGGCAAGTTGGGAAGTAGTAACTCAAGCCGCAGCAGCTAAAAGAAAAAGAATGATTGCATAGGTAATTCAAAGGTATTGTGCTATTTCAGAGCCTTTGTTTATTTTGCAATATAGATTTCTGTTGACGTTGGAGGAGCCTTATGACAACTGGCAATTTTTTCTTTAGCAAAATAATTTACATTTCAGATGACTATTGAAAGGTAGAAGGAGGAATTATGCTTTTGGGGACTTAATTTGGGCAGATTCCATCACTGTGCAGAAAAGGAAATACGTTTATTATGCTAAAAAGACTTGTTTCTAAGGATCAGCTTAGAGAAACTAGTAGATCTTATTTCTACAGATTAGCAATTTAAGATAATAGCATAAGAGACCATTTAAGACCTTCAGAAACCTATTTTTAAACAGTTTTTAGCTTATGAATAAGTAAGTGATAATGCAAGTGTTCATGGCACATTTTCCTGCAAAAATGGTATATATTATAGATAGAGTCCCTGGAAAGTCCTCAAAAATCTACTTAATTCCTAATACCACTAAATATTGTTTCTTTGGGAGAATATATTTTGAGTTCTAACTCCCAACAACAATAGAAGACTTTAAATCTCCTCCTCTCTCCTCCAAGCAGATTTCCAAATGGGTGGTTTTTCTAGCCAAGGCTGTGAGCATAGTAAGGGTTCCAAGGGCCCGTGTTACCGGAGAGGAGGTGTCTGGGGACTATGGTGGGAAGTTGAGGATCTAACCCTGTTAGGGTTTACTACCCAGTCCTTCACTTTGATTAGCAACATAATTTATAGTGGCTTTGCCTCTAGAGTTTTCTGGAGGTTGCAGACCATGCTAATTATTAACTCCTTAGGTACCTAATGGAGCTTTCAGGCATGACTTGAGCTGTTTTCTTTCGTTCTCTAGTGGTGTGTATGTTTTTGGCTTTTAAACCTTGAGTATCCAATCAGCAAAATGTGGTTTATATGACCTGTTTCCTCCTTTGCCTGTCAGGCAAAATATGGATTACTGAAAAGTGGGTTAAATGCATGAAGATGATCAGCGAACAGAGTTTTGTGAAGTAGGACGACTTGGACACAACATAAAGTCTGTCCCACAAAACATCATATTTTGTCTAATTAACTACTTTTAATGGCATTTGGATTTTATGCTGCTCACCGTATTTATCCTCTGAATGTTATTTACTGTGCCTTCTTTTGTTTCACAGTGAGTTAATGTGTCCATTTAAAACGTTTATGGTGAATAATTCATACCATTCAATAAGTATTAACTCTTAAATGGAACATCTTATCAACCAGGGCTGGAAAAGTGGAATTGTCAGTGGTGGTACATGTTCATAATTGTGCTTTGGTTTTTAGTGAATGAAAACATTAAGAATGGGGAAACCTTGTGGACATTTTTAACATAAAAGGTGTTTCACAGACTTTCCTTGGGCAGTATGTCAATGCTACAGGTCTGGGGCATAAGTCACGGCAGATTCTAAAGAGACCACTTGTTACTGCATTTATTCCTCAGTGAAAAATGGCTCTTCATTTGCTTGATGCTTTTGGGTTGGCAGCGGGGCAGGGTTCAGATAATTTGTTGTTACTTACAGATTATGTTTCTACTTCATTGTGATGTGATTACAGATTTTCATCATTTTCATTTTCGTCTCTCTCTTTTCTTCCCCCTTTTCTAGTTCTTCCTCCAGTGCTGGTTCCAAGACACAGTGAATATAATCCTCAGCACAGCCTATTAGCTCAGTTCCGTAACTTAGGACAAAATGAGCCTCACATGCCACTCAACGCAACTTTTCCGGATTCTTTCCAGCAACCCAATAGCCATCCGTTCCCTCACTCCCCCAGCAGCAGCTACCCCAACTCTCCTGGAAGCAGCAGTGGCACCTACCCGCACTCCCCCACCAGCTCAGACCCAGGAAGCCCTTTCCAGATGCCAGGTAGGTCGGAAAGTTCAGTGATGTTCCGGCAAGTGGCCCTGCTGCTGCGGAGTCGGGGGAACTCTGAGCGGACCTGTGCTCAGAGAGCTCTTCGGCTCTGGTACCTGGCACTTGGCTCTCAGACGGGGGTACCGCCCTGGGCGAAGGGAGACCTCGCAGTCAAGGAAGCAAATGTCCTGTTTGTCAGGCGCAGATGCTTGAATAAGTTTTATTTCTGATTTTGAAGGGTTTTTGAAACAGCTGCATCCTTCTGGGAGTGGCATAATTGTTACAGTCTTCGCTCTTGATAAAAGAGAGGAAGAGAAAAATAATGTGCTGCGCACATTTGCTGTATGTGAAAAAGAAACTCCTGTTATAAGTGCAGCCTCAGAAAAGATATTTCCTGAGGGATCACACCCCCCCCACACACTTAATTAAATTCATTTAAGTGGTGATGTAATCCCAAGAAACATATACTTTAGCAACAAAGGAAATGCAACAGAAGTACTGGAGACCATCTGCTTGTTTAACTTAGCAAAGACAAAAACAATTATCCTCCTTTTTTAGACTTAACTGATGGTGTAATGTTTATCAAAATAAATGATTAATTAGGACATTATATTTTTCAAATTATAGGTTAGGAAGCAAGCATCTCACAAAAAATGATGAGTGCCAAATTCCTTGCCAGTAGACCTCAAGGAGGATACTGTAAACAAAGATGTACTTAACATCGATTAACATTTCAAGAAAGGAAAATGGGTGGGCAAGCAAGTTTATTAGGCAACTTGAAATGGGTTTAAGTGAATGGGAATTTGACAACAGGCTGGTTATGTCCTCAAAAATTGAAAAGCGTCCACATTTGATAGTGCTGTCTTTTGTTACTTTTTTTGTTTTCAGCCTTTTATTTTTTTTGCAATCCAAAACTGCTTAGAACAGGGCAGTGTGGGTGTGTGGGAAGGGCAGGGGAGGGGGAAATATAGATTAGTTTAGAAATCAAACTAAGTATCATCTGGTTATTTCCTATTGCCCCCTCCCTCACCCGGAACTGTTGGGTTTGATAAAGAGGTTAGTGGTGAAGAGATGGTTTCAGAAGCTCGGGAGCAGCAGCAAACCCAGGGTGGGCCCCTGGAGTGAAAAACGGGAAGATTATTGCTTGAGTTTACACTTTGTTCCCGGCTGTCAGGGATTAAGACGCAGGCCAAGCAAAGGTGATGTGGAAAAAAGCCACCAAGGGTGGGAGGAAGCACTTGTGGGCATAGTAGAGCATCACCCATAGGTAGCTGGGAGCACTTTCTCAGTGCTGCTGGTGCCACAGGCTGCTGAGGACATTTTCACCAGCTCGTTTGTGGAAATTTATCGGATTTGGTCTCAGAGGATGCTCTAGGTCTTCATTCCTGGCTGGAAGCAAAGCGGAGTCAGTGTTACAGCTGCACGGAAGAAGCTGAATTAAAATAAGCTGGAGGAAAGGGTGAAAAAGGCATCCAGATAAGGTCCCCATAGTCCTTTCTTTGTGTCGTGAGTCCTTGCTTGTTAGCTGCTGGATGGTGGAAGTTACTGGGTTGCAATTCAGCTGGAGAGTCAGTCTTTGGAAATCTCTGAAAAGCTGTGAAGGAGCAGCAGTATTAGCTATTTGTGTTCAGCAGTTGCCCTGAGTAATCTGGGCTACTTCTCCAAGTTATTCATGGTTCCCTAAGGTAAAACTTTGTTCCCTGCTCTGTCTGGTGTGCTAGATGGGCTCACAATAGCCAGTGAGGAACTTGTTTTTTGATCACAAAGGATTATTTGTGGGGAACCCATACCCCTTATTTTATTTAAGAAAACACAAAAGACCTATATTAGTGTTGTTTCAAGTCATGTTGTTTGCCTCTTATTGCCAGCTGACTTTGAGCTTTTAGAAGAAACATATGTAAATTCTGAAATAGAAGATGGCTGTGATAAACTGATTTATTTCCTGTTATTCTGCTACTAGGGGTTTTAAAACTAGTGATTATTTAAGCAGGTAGGGGTAAGGTAGTCCTAACAGATTGCTTGAAGTCATGGGAAATTAACAGTTTAAATCCGTAAACTAATTGGCGATAATGAAACTCAGTTGGTAAATTCCTAAAAGCCTGTGGGTTTAAAGTAAGAAACCCTGAAGCTCTTTTTCTTAAGAGATCCTACGTAGCTTTCAAAGGTTTTCCATCCACCAGTGAAACTATGAAATGCAGAGGTCCTCTTAAAGTGGACTGTATGAAAACATGTTTAAATGCTCTCCTGATTGTTTTAAGACAGCATGATCCTGGAAAGGCAGACGACTTCTGGAACTGACATATAGTGCTTTTCCTCCCCCTGAATCTTCTCTACGGTTGTACAAAATCACGAGATGCCGGTCATTTTCAGGAAGTGGACACCGAGTTCAGTGTCTAGCGTCCATTTTCTGATGAGGTTGAAATGGCAGTTTAATCTCAGGAATTTCACAGAATTTATGTTTTAAGTGTGTGTGGTTATTCAAAGATAAAGAAATCTTTTCTTTTTCTTAAACTTTGTAGCTGATACGCCCCCGCCTGCTTACCTGCCTCCTGAGGACCCCATGACCCAGGATGGCTCCCAGCCAATGGACACAAATATGATGGCACCTTCACTGCCCTCAGAAATCAACAGAGGAGGTAAAATGAATTGCTGTTTATCCCTTTTTAGTGTCTAAAGTTTATCTGTCCAAATGTTACTTTCTCTCACAAGTGTTTATTAGTCTGTAAAAAGATAGCTATTGGAGAAAGCACAATAAGAGAAGCTGGATAGAGAGAATTTTTTGGATTACAAGTAAGTCTTTTATATGAAGAACAAACACACTGATTTGACTAATGAAGGCCAGTGTATAATTGTGTGGTCATCTGTTTTGAACACAATACTTAATAATTTTAAATTGGCCATAAAAGAATATTTTTAAGTGAAGGACAAAGGTAGGTATTGAGAAACAGTGAGCATAACTTTACTGAAGTGGGGCTGTCACTGGTGATGTCCAAAATTAGAAGTTCATATAACAAGGCTTCCCAAAGGTTCCTTTGTTGGTAGAGTCTTAGCCCTCATCCATACACAGCTGCAACTGGAAAGAACTACTAACATTTTTTTCTTGCTATATTTACTTGTTTCTAACCTTGTTACAGAAAGGGGTTGAGGCATGTGTTTTTCCTGTTCTCACCTGGAAGAACTTAGAAGCAGAACCTATAAGCAGGTCGGGTCATTCCTTTCCCTTTCTGGTGGAGGATGGGTGTGTTTCGAGGTCTGCGGTGGCTAGCAGGGTAGGCCTAACGGAGCAGAGAACTGAGAGCAGTGAGTGTCAGGAGAATCCCTGAGCACCTGTAGGAAGTCATGACCAAATGGTGGAAGGAAACTGTTCCCAGACAACCTCTCATGGAGGAAGATGCTTCACTGGTGCACTCAACACGTGGCATGAAACTTCACTGTGTAAATTTTATGCAAATTGAAGTTTTAAGGCAATCTAGTTACTAGGTGTAGGTCTCATTTCATTCTGACTTTATTAAAATTGGAGATATCTCAGACTTTGTCAGAGTTGCTTACATCTTTTAAGTTCTTAAAATCTGATGATGAAAGAACCTTTTTTAGATGTGCAGTGTAATAAATTGGAATGTACACCTTCCTATTTTATTTGTTTATTGTTAAAGTTTATTTATTTTGGGGAGGGGAGGAGGAGTAGAGAGAGAGAAGGAGACAGAGGATCTGAATCAGGCTCTGTGCTGTCAGCGTGGAGCCCGATGCGAGGCTCAAACCCACAAACCATGAGATCACGACCTGAGCCAAGGTCTGACGCTCAACTGATTGAGCCACCCAGGTGTCCCTGAATGTACACCTTTTTCATCTGTAAAATATTTTTACATCTTTATTGGCTCTGTATCTGATGGTTCCTGATAATCTCTAGAACATCTTCCCAAACATAATTATGAACCAACAGATAAAGCTTCTGGTTGGGGAAAGTGACTTGTGTCTCACACATCTTTGGAATAGGTATTTGGGGAACAAGGATCGCAGGAGAGAATGGACACAGGACTGCTCTACAGCTATGAGCGTGTGGACCCTGTAGCTATTGTTGTTAAGCCTAAAATGTCTGATTTCAGGAAACAGGCCTTTAAATTGCTTTAAAATTTTTCCTTTAAATAGCTTTTAAAAATTTCCCCATTAGAAATAAGTTCACAGTTAATATCTTCATGAGGAAAGAATGTTGGCCTTTCTGTTACTGTTTTACCTTTGGTGGTTTTCCTAAAGCAGGAGTCAGCACACTACAGCCCACAGGCCAATTCAGCCTGCTGCCTGTTTTTTGTAAATAAATTTTTATGGGAACACAGCTATGTCCATTACATATTATCTGTGGCAGTTTTAGCACTACGAGGGCACAGTTGAATAGTTACAGTAGAGACCATATGCCCCACAAAATCTTTCTGGTCTTTTATAGAAAAATGTTGTCATCTTCTGACCTAAATGAGTAGTATTTTGAACAATCCTGATAGCTGATAAAAAGCCTTCTATAATGATGTTACAGTCTTCTTTTAAGATTTAGCATAATGTAAATCACTAAAATTTCATTCTTTGAAATACAGTAAATTGACGTGGGATAGTTGCTTAGCAGGGAAGATAGTGTATGCTTGTTTTTGGCTCACCTGATCCAGTATATAGAGCAGCTAATGTGTGTGTGGATTTTTTAAAGGATTGTTCTGTTTTCCTTACCGAATTCTAAAATAAAGTGCATTATGATATTTGTGGAGGTTGTTGTTAAACGAACACAGAAGTACTTTTTCCTAAACAGTCCAGTTTATGCTTCTAATGTGGATATTCTTTCTCTTTGTACATTTGTATGCTCAGGACCTCATAAACCTCAGATCATTACATATTGGCACAGTGGGCATACGTGGTTTATATTCCTGGAATCTCTAAAGCAGTGGTAAAAGAGGTTTTACTACAGAAGGAACTTATCTTTAGAACCTTTTAGTTGCAAATGTTTAGAAGCATGTTCTGTTTGGAGATTTGTTAGTCTTAAGAGATTTGACTTAACAAGCTGCATCCTGTCAGTAAAGTTGGGTAATTTCCATTGTTGGCCCATTCTGGGAATGGAGAGACAAAACACACCTGCTCTGCATGACTTAAAGCAAATATAAGGAAGTTAGCATGAAATCTGGATGAGAGAGATATGATTCATTCTGTAAAAATGGCCAGCTGGCAAGATTTCTTCCTGAGTTTAAGGACTGGAGCAAAGCTGTGGCTGTGATAGTTATTGGCAGCTTAATGTGAAGTAAGGGAACTTCTTATCAATAATTAGAAACCGATTTTCATTGCTTTGAAAAAGTATAGGCCTACTAAGGCTTTGTTGAAAGTCACCCTTTTTCTGCCAGCACCTTTGGCACATTTCCTGTCCTCGATTGTTCTCTTTCCATTTGTTTTTCACTTGCCACTTGTGTTTCTTTAGATGGTGAGCCAGCATCTGTGGTGGGGGTAATTTCCATTTTGGCATATTACGGAGCAAGTAGCATATTGTGAGTGTGCAGCAAATGCTGTTGGTATGCTTGCTTAGCTGGCGTTTTGGTTATCTGATAGTAATTGGAGAAAATTATTTTCCAGTTGAAGGAGGACGTCACACTTTGTGAGGTGAGGAGTACCTGTTTCAGATAGCCTAGAGAAACCGTATACATTCTAATAGCAGTTGCCGTCCCGTACCTGCATTCCAGGGTCCTGAGCCAGTTTGACAACACAGCTTCAGTGTTTGAGAGCCCGAGGCACTCGCTGAGGTTGACTGTAAGGTTTTCTTTCTTACAGATGTTCAGGCGGTTGCTTATGAGGAACCAAAACACTGGTGCTCTATTGTCTACTATGAGCTCAATAATCGTGTGGGTGAAGCGTTCCATGCCTCCTCCACAAGTGTGTTGGTGGATGGTTTCACCGATCCTTCCAACAATAAGAACCGTTTCTGCCTTGGGCTGCTCTCCAACGTTAACCGGAATTCCACTATTGAAAACACCAGGCGGCATATTGGAAAAGGTGAGTTTTCACTTGAACCTCTTTCACATGTGTGTCTGTTGTGCCCCTGTTCCCCTAGAACTGACGCAGTTGTTCCTGGAGCAGCCTACCAGGGCAAACACCAGGTAATAAACACTGGCTCCGGTTTGTAAATAGCTTTTCAGTTTGTATTATCAGGACGCTACTCACTTTTCAGTCAGCAGTGTTTGTGTCCTGCCACCTCATAGGAATTGATATTAACCAGCTGAAATATTGATCTGGGGGGGGGGCACTCTTCCATCTTGTGTTTTGCTGCAGAATAAAATAGCTGTTAAAGAGAGACTTACAACCTAAAACTAAATGCAAGTTAAAACAAGTAAACCTAATATGTTTCAAATGAGTACCATAACTCACTGGGAAAAATAAAGAAAGAACCAGTCCAGAATGACTTAGGAATATAGTATTTGGCTGTGTTTCTTCAGTCTGGGCCAGGTAGGGTAGAGTGCTTGTAAACAAATCCCGAGCTCATTTTAGTAGGCTTTGATTGCTTAGTAGCAGTATGAATAAAAGTTATGGAACTTTTAGTTATAAGATTAAGCAAATGACTGAATGTGGATGTTTCCGGGAGCCTGGATTTTCACTGTGGAGTAAGAAACATACAAGTATGGAGGAGGGCAAAAAATTCACCCTGTGGAGGTATCAAGGTGAAATCATGACTTAATACATGTACGTATGTGTGTACACGTGGATGTGTGTGTGTATGCGTATGCATATTTAGATGTGCTCATACGTGCATGTAGTTTCTGATCTGTCTGCTGAAAGGGCCAGCAGGCAAAGATGCCCAGGAGCCATAAACACGTCTGGTTCTCAGCGCATCGTCTCTAACACCATTTCCCACTGAGAGGAGTCAGGACTCCTCAGGGAAAAGGCTGACTCCCAAGTCCAGACCAGGTAGACAGAGTTGAGCCTGGAACATTTTGTTATATCAGAAAGTGAAGAGATGCCAATGAAAGTGATGGGGGCGTGTCACAGGAGCCATCTTGGAGGTGCTTCCCCTGGCCACTTCTGGGACAGTTTGAGTAACAAAATAATGAAGTATGGTCATGGATTTTAAGCCACTGAAAAACCATAGTAATTTATAAGTTCGTGCCAATAATACATAGATAAGGATAAAGAATGAATGGGGAAAGCTGGTTCACAAATGTGCAGTGAGTGCTAGAGTTTGAAAGTCATCATTTTGCAGCCATCAGGCAAGAATCCTCAGTGAATACTAAAGAGAGAATTTTTTGCAAGAATCAGGATATTTGCATGGTCTTACAGTGTCTCCTCACAGACTGCCTATTAGTAACAAGGGAGAATAGAAATGAGTAGTTATACAGTGGAGACATTGGACAGCATCTTGACTGGGAGATCAAAATTATCGTCACCAGTGAGAGACAGATGGATCCCATATACCACCAGATGTGATGCCCTGAGAAAGAAGTAACATCACCTGTGCAGAATTCCAGTTGAGAATGCAAATATGAATCTAATCATGGGGAAACTTCAGACAAATCCAAAATGAGGAATATTCTATTAAAAAGGGTGAAGAGGAACTGTATTCTTCTAAAATATCAATGTCAAGAGACAAAGGTGTGAAATGTTCCAAATTAAAAGAGATTAAAGTGATATGACAGCTAGGTAATAAGCTGACCCTGGGCATGATCTGTGCCAGACAGGAAAAATACCACAGAGGACCTTATTGGGATCAGCAGGCAAAGATAAAATATGAGTGGTAGATTGGATGAGAGTATTATATCAATGTTACATATACTGGCATTGCTAACTATATTGTCACTATGTAAGAGAGTATGCCTGTTCTTAGGAAATACACACATATATGCATATATACAAATGTCTATCCATCTAAAATCTGTGTCAGAATATATATATGGATGTATATGTGTGTATATGTTTATGTATACATATACGCATATGTATGTATATACATATACACATATATGCATATTGAGAGTGTGTGTGAAAAAAATAGAGGGGAAGGAGGTGTGAATGATAAAAAATATAGAATAAATTGTCACAATAAATGAATCAGGATAGTGGTTACGTGGGTCTTCTTTTGTTTTTCTTGGCTGTTTGTTCTGTTTCTGTACATTTGAAATTGTTTCCAGAGTAAACTTTTTTTTTTTAAATGACCTACTATAAAATTTAGAACAGTGGACCAAATTAAGAGGTCATTTAGTAAATGCTTAAAAGGCATTTGAGGTAAAGTTCAATACTCAATCCTGGAAAAAACAAACAAACAAAGAAACAAAAAAAAACCTCCTAAAACAGGACTTGATAGTTCCTTAATATGATTAAGGGGGAAAAAACCAAATCCTAAACTCCGCATTTAATGATGAAATGCTTGAACCTAGGTTCATAACATATAGATCTCTTTCCATGATCTGTAAACCCTGAAAGTTGTACATAAACACAATATTGCATATATTTGGGATCAAGGGAGAAATTTTTCATTAAGTTCTAAAGTTGACCGTTACCCCAAAGTAGTAAAAAGCCATTGCATTCTAGAATATTTCTATTAAAAATTAGGAAGAAAATACAGATTCTGGGAATGCTGATACTTAACAGTGTTCCAGATATCTTGACTAGCGTATTCAAATGTAGAATTATTGATAATGGAAATAAGCCAAAATTGTAATTTTTGCAGATGATATGATTAATTGATAATATTTTTGGGAGAGATTCTTGAACTGAAGTTAGTAGGTCAAGGGTCTTGATATATTATGCCAATTACTTTCCAGAAAGCTTTTATTAATTTCCACTTATACCATAAGTCTATGGATGAGTGCCTTTCTTCTTTCACTGATGTAGGTATTACTGACATAGTAATACTCATGGTCGTTGTGTTTATTCAGAAGTCATGGTTGTTTATCTAGAAACCTTTAAAGAATTTAGTTTTAGAGATTTTATGTCAGTTTTCTTTAATCTGGCAATAACCAGTTAGAAAATATAATGTAGAGGAAAATCATGCTTCTAATATCAACAGAAAACGTAAAATTTTGGAAATAATATGAATGAGCAATACATGAGAATTAGGTAAAGAAAACCAAATTTTACTGAGAGAGAAAATTTAGATATGTAAATAAGCAGTCTGTGTTCCTTAAAGAAAAGGCTTAATATTGTGAGAATATTTTAAGGATATCCTTTCTTCCTAATTCAATTTATGGTTTAAAATAATCCATGCCAGAATCACAATGTGTTATTTTTTGAAAGTCGGAAAATATGATCTGAATATTACCTGGCAGGTTAAACAAGTGAAAATAGCTATTTTTTTTAATGGAAGAGTAAAGAAAAAATTCTTGATGTTAGGTTAATTATGAAACTACAATTAAGTCAGGGTATAGACAAAATGGTAGAATAAATTAAACTCAGACTATGTTGTATTTCAAAATTAATGTATGTTAAGTGAAGCATAACAAATCAGTAGTCTTCTAATGGTCCTGCAGTAACAAAGTTAGTTTTTAGTTGAGGCTGTAGGGAGGAACCCTGACCTCATTTCACATATGCAAATAGATTAGTGAATTGAGGGGTTTTTTTTTAATGGCAAGCTGGTAAAAAGCAAGAAGAAAAATACATTTTATCGGAGACAGAAATATTCTAAGCATAAAAAGCAATAGAAAAGATCACAAGAGAATTTGACTACTCAAAGCTTTCAAACTTCTGTAGGTTAAAAAAAAAAACCAAACACCAAGAACAAAATTAAAAGACAAAGACTGATAGGGAAACAAATAGGAAATAAATTATTTATATCTTACTTGCAGCTCATAAAAAAATAATAAAAATATTAGAACCCCAGTAGGATACATAGGTAAGAAATATGAACAGTAAGTTCGTAAGAGAAACACAGATGGCTAATAAACATATGAGAGCATATCCAGTCTCACATGTAAATGAAAACAATACTGTTTTTCAGCGAAAATTTATTTTAATTTATTTGTTTTTGTCTTAAACTCACTCAATACTGGCATGGGCAAAATGATAAAGGCACTCATATACTGCCGGTAGGGTGTAAATTGATATAAGCATTCTGGAAAGTCGTTTGGCAAAGTGAATCAAGAGCTTTCGATCCAGTGATTTAACTTCCAGGAATCTCTCCTAAGGATATTATCAAAAATTATCCAGAGACATTTATCCTGGCATTGTTACAACAGAAGAAAATTAGTGTCAACACTATGGTCCAGTTACGGGAGAATTGCTAAAGTAAATTGTTGTATCCATATAATCGTGTAGATAACTTTAAATGTTTACTGAGAAAGTTTAGTAATAGAACCAAATACAGCACATCAAACTGTTAACTTTTGCCTCTACATCACTAAACAAGTGATGATATTTTCTTATTCTTTATATTGTGTTTTTCTAAATTTTTGAAAATGAAAATTCCTCATTTTTATAATCAGGAGAAAAAGTAAACACGTGTGTGTGTACGCACACACACACACAGTTTCTCGTGCGTGCGCTCTCTCTCTCTCTCAACTTGTTTTCTCCACATCAAGCAGGAAAATGGACTTCTGCTCCAGCAGCTATTTAATTGCCACAGAAGTCATAGACGTTGTGTGTACATGTAAACACAACACATAATATTTTGGATTGGATTGGAGACCGTAGTTTTAGCATTGGCTGAGCCATGCTGGAGTTGCCTGCAAGGTGAATTGTTTAAAGCCACATGGCATGGGACTCTGTTTGCTGCGTGGCCTATAATAATCTCCCTTAATGGTGTAGGGCTTTGTCAGAACGTCTCCTCCCCCCCCCCCCCCCCCCCCCCACGTTTCCTTTTTTTAAAGGCTGGGTAGGATCAATTTCCTACACTCCTGGCACTCTAAGATGTCACAGGAAGAAGTTTGGAGCAGATGGCAGTTCAGGGAGATCAGATTCCACACAGTATGAATTATTTTTATAGTTCCCCCTCACCCCCAGACCTTCGTCTTCTAGCTCTCAGCACTACTTCCTCCATGTGGTTTTCTAGCCCTTTTACTTATGATTCTCCCTTCTCCTACCCTAACATTTTCAAAGAGCTGAGCTACAAAATAAATGCAAGAAAGAGAGCTCATATGATGAGTATATGTAGAATCCAATAATAAAGTCCGGCTTTATTATGCTGTATTTTTAGAGTGAGAATATGCTTTCAATCCATGGCCAAATAGGGCATTAGACTCTTATCAAAATGAACTTGCTGTATCTCGCTACTAATTTTTACGAGACTGTGTTGTTATATTATTTCTCAGAAACCTCTTAGACATACACGTTAACAAAAGGACATTGTATTAGCTAATATGGTTAACTAAGATTTTATCAGCTGTACAAGATTTAGAGACAAACCAAAGTTTAAATCCATGCGAATTCATATATTGAAGAGACACAGATGCCTTTCAGCTGTGAGAAATAATGAATATGATCCGTCCCTTGTCTTCCTACAGGAGTGCATCTTTACTATGTGGGAGGGGAAGTGTATGCCGAATGCCTCAGCGACAGCAGCATCTTTGTGCAAAGTCGGAACTGCAACTACCATCATGGATTTCACCCCACTACTGTTTGCAAGATCCCTAGTGGGTGTAGTTTGAAAATTTTTAATAACCAAGAATTTGCTCAGTTATTGGCACAGTCTGTGAACCATGGCTTCGAGACAGTCTATGAGCTCACTAAAATGTGTACTATCCGCATGAGCTTTGTAAAAGTAAGTAAGTCCTCTGCTTAGGCTTTAACATGTTTGCTGTGCTTTCTCGCAGTATATAAATCTATATCCTCTTGATATATGTCCATAGAAGCCAACATTATTACCTAGGCATTTTTTAAACTTTAGTGAGGATGTCGGTTATTAGGATACAATTAGAATATAGGAGTGTTTGTATTCAAATGTCAACAGTGTAGCAGGCTTTAATAACTTTTTCCTCTTCAAATAAGCACGATTTTAGCTACTGTAATACCATAAGAATATGTTTTGTTGTATATTTAACATATATAATTTAAATGCACGATTTTCTTAAAAGATTAATTCAGTAAACAAACCCCCCTTCCTTTTCATTCTGCGTTTTTAGTACCTTTATGATGATAACATTTGTTGCTTTTGTTTCAGCAATAAATGAGTGATCTTTTTTAAATAAAAGTTCACCATGCTGGGGTTTATTTGTGATAGGTCAGGTTTTTTTAATGGTTCCAGTAAAACCTCATGATTTTCCTATAATTCAGAAGTTAATAAGACCCTTGCCCAAAGATCAGTAGATACCTTCGTTCTAAGACTGTTGTTAGGGTTGAGGATGGAGAAGGTTAAAGACATTGCTCACAATAATTAATCTCTTTCTCCCTTCTCTTCCACCTCCAAGAAATAAAAAAAATTTTAGGATGTCAAAATTAAATATCAAATATCTGACTAGATTTCATGAGTTGTAACTTATTCTAGTAACTGACTTGTCTCTAAATACTCAAAGATAAATTTTCATCCTCTGTTACCTTGAGAAACAAAACTAATTATATATTTGGGTGAGGCAATCACCTTTTATGTCCTCTCTTCAGAAGCTCACCCAACTTGTTGTGAAACCTGTTTTGTAATGTATGTATTACAGAGGGTAATTTTGGAACCTTACTTTGTTAATCATCCTTTAGATCAAAGATGCCTTTCCCTGAATATCATTTTTTTCTTACTTCTTGAATCATATTAGCAGATTCTGAGTTTTTTCTCCTGGTGTTGGTTTTCTTGAAACATAATTCACCAGTTTTGTGATGTGTGTGTGTGGCTGAGTATGGTACCTTGTTAGTATTAAAGGAGGGTTTTTACCTTTTAAAGAAGTTTACCAATATGCTGTGTACCTATGGGACTGGAAAGATCTTTCTCATGCACTATTAACATTCATGGTTTAATTTTTGACTTTGCATTTGGCTAAAATGAATTTTAAAATGAAGACTCTGACTTGCCAGCGATGGTTTTTGTTTGTTGGGTTTTGTTTTTTTTTTTTTTTTTTACAGTTGATTTATTTTGAGGGGAGAGGAGGGTATGTGCACGCGCCAAGCAGGAAGTGAGGTAGAGAGAGAACTCAACAGGCTTATGCTGTCACCACAGAGAGCCCAGCCTGGTGGCTCCCTGTCTCACAAACCAGATCGTGTGTCTGAGGCTGGAGAGATCAAGAGTTGAATCTTTTTAACGACTGAGTCACCCCAGGTGCCCCTTATTTGTTGTTTTATTGGTATTGAGGAAAGAATACCTATTTTTTTTTTAATGTTTATTTATTTTGAAAGAGAGAGAGACAAAGTGTGAGCGAGGGAAGGGCAGAGAGAGGGAGACACAGAATCTGAAGCAGGCTCCAGGCTCTGAGCTGTCAGCACAGAGCCCGGACACAGTCACTTCAACCATGAGACCATGACCAGCTGAAGTCTGGCATTTAGCCAACTTAGCCACCCAGGTATCCAAGAATAACTATTAAGAGTCAAGAAACCCAGGTTCTAGTTTTATCTGCCATTTTATTTTATTTTATTTTATTTTATTTTATTTTATTTTATTTTATTTATTTTTTAACATTTATTTATTTTTGAGAGAGCCAGAAAGAGCATGAGTTGGGGGAGGGGCAGAGAGAGAGGAAGACCTAGAATCCAAAGCAGGCTCCAGGCTCTGAGCTGTCAGCATAGAGCCCCACTCGGGGCTCAAACTCCCAAACCGTGACATCATGACAGGAGCTGAAGTAGGACGTTTAACCAACTGAGCCACCCAGGCGCCCCTTAGCTGCCATTTTAACTGTGTGATTAAGGCACAGGGATCTTTTGCCCTTCCTCATGTTCATCTTTAAAATGGGTAGATAGAGTTGGGAACTGTGGTAATCATTACAGAGTTCCCTTGATGAGTCTATTATTCTTGAAGGGCCACTCAAGAAGAATCTATGACTCTACTGCTCCAGTTGGATTTCTCTTCAAACTCATTTCATATTGTTTACCTTGTCACTTTTAATGGTTTTACTTTTATAGATTTTTAATTATTTACACACAAGTAAAAACAAACTTTACACTAATAAAAAGTGTTTATGATACGAGGATATGCATTAAAAATGTATTGGATTTCATTCATTCAGCAAATATTTTTAGCACTATTCCAGAGCATTAATACAAAGATGAAAAAAAGCACCTTAAAGTTTCTAGCTTCACAAATGCTTACAGCCTAGTATATGCTTAATTATAAAATAACGTGATATATACTGGAATGGAGGGTAATATAAGATATAATAGACATAGCTGGGAAGCTGGATTTGGAAAGCTAAGGGTGAACAAATTTTGTTTTAAAACTCCTGCTGACATGATGAAGGGCAGCTGTTTATCATACATTTGCAACAACAAGTTTGCATAGTGTTTATATGGTCTTGTTCTTTATTAAAACCATAAGGGTTTTATACCTTGCCCTTGCACACTTAGCATCTTAGAGAAATTATATAGGTCATTTTGCTAATTTTAATAGCCAGTCATTTTGCCATTTTGAAGATGATCATCTTGGACTTTAAAACATACATTTTCTAAATTATTTGCACAGTAAATTCCCCATATATCTGAAAAATCCAAGTCCATTCAGCTGAACACGTATTTCTAGAGCTTCTGCTTTGTGCCAATCACTGTGCTAGATGTTTGAGATGGAGATAAATAAGATCTGATCCCTGCCTTCAAAGAACTTACTGTCTAATGGGGGAAACAGGCACACATACCTTTAAATTAAACATAGCAGTGTATTGATATTTGTACAAATGTATGAATGTATATACATATGCACTTCATATATCACACCTTCTTCCTGAGAGTTCTGATATTTATATGTACTTCTTGAAATTCCTGGAGTAGATAGGTATCAGATAAATAGAACCCAGCCTTCTCTGACATTCCTCATGAAACAAGGGTTTATGAGAGCTTTATATTCCATTGCCCACCACACTAGTGAGTTTTTGATCATTGCAGTTGCAAAATTACCTTTGTCTTTTGCAACTTTAGTGTCCCGATTCAGTCATACTGAAGATGTCTGGCAGACTACCTTCTTGTACAAATGTATAATGGAATCTATTGATTCAAAGCAATGCTTCGGTGTCCATAATAGCTTTCTGGATATGTATGTGCCTCTGCCCGTTTGCTTAGAGACTGAAAGATCAAGTGCTCTGTGTTGGTAGGAGGACCTTCAGTGGCTGAGGAGGGAAGAAGCAGAAAGTCAGTTTGGCTAACATGACTTTTTCTTTATTTTCTTGATGATAAAAAGTTAAAAGGTGCCTTTGTTAAATGAAACAGCCTTATAATATATTTGAAACTTTCATTCCCCAAGACCAGTGCTTCTTAACTTTGATTCTGTGGAGGAAACTTAGGGAGCCTAGAACACACCCATCACCTGAAACTGCCTGCCATACTGTATGTGTTTGTGCACACAAGCATCTGTCTTACGGAAGGCATCTGTGTCTTTAATCAAGAGTGTCTGATTACTTGAATTCTACTTACTTAAAAAGTTTAATCACGGAGTGAAGCAAGTTAAATGACCTCCACTGTGTCTTCTAGGGTTGGGGAGCAGAATATCACCGCCAGGATGTTACTAGCACCCCCTGCTGGATTGAGATCCACCTGCATGGCCCCCTCCAGTGGCTGGATAAAGTTCTTACTCAGATGGGTTCACCTCACAATCCTATTTCATCTGTGTCTTAAACAGCCTCAGGCTTCTGCCTCTTGAAAACTATTGAGCCTTGCATGTACTTGAAGGATGGATGAGTCAGACACGATCAAGAACTGACAAAGGAGCCTTGATAATACTTGACCTCTGTGACCAACTGTTGGATTCAGAAATTTAAAAAATAAAAAAAACAAAAACCTTGGTAACATACTGTCGATATCAAGAACCTGTTTAGTTTACATTGTAACATTCTATTGTAAAATCAACTAAAATGCATACTTTTAGCAGGACTTCGTGTATAGTTAAAGGAGAGATGGCCAAGCCAGGGACAAATTATCTATTTGGTCCTAAGAGAAATGGTCCTAAGAGATTCTTTTGTGTTTGGCACTTTAAGGTCATCGTTTGGCAGAAGTTTAGCATTAATAGTCTTTCTGAAGTGTGTTTTTATCAGGTTTAGAACCCATGTTGAGTCTTATTTTCATGGGTTTTCATAATGTTTTAAAACTATTTGTTTAGTAATGGGTTTTGTTTGTTTTTTTAAGTAAAGTTTAATCTGATGATATACATAGTAATCTTTCTAAAATTGTACGCTGACCATACTGCTGTCAGAATAATATTAGGTATATGCTCTTTGCTAAATATATATGTACAGAATATTTGGAAGTTAAGAATGGATTAGACTAGTGGACTTAGTATTTGAGGGGGTGGGGGAGAGGGAAATGACAACTGCAAATGTAGAATATACTGTAAAAAGTCAGTTTGTGACTTTCAGGAAACAAACTGATGCCTGAATTTTGCTGTGTTTCAATTTTTTAGACATTTTATCCTTTTCTTTTTTTTTTTTTTTTTTTTTTTTTGGGGGGGGGGCGCCTTCTATCCCATCCTCTCCAAAAAGCAGTTGTGCAGCTGGTTAATTCATGTAACTGTGAGAGCAAATGAGTAATTCCTGCTACTCTGAAATCGACTGCCTATATGTCTCAATACCAACCGTATGGAGTGCTTCAATTTAATAAGCAGTTTTTTATGGAGTTTACAGAAACTGGCTTTAATTTTCAAGTGAATTGTTCACCAACTGTTAAATATTTGGAGGATTTAAAGAACATCCCTGTTTAAATCTATTTCAAACTTTTAAGGATTTTTTTTGTACTGTGTTTGGTTTTATTTTTCTTCTGCTAATCTTTTATATTCACTTATGCTCTCGTACATTGAGTACTTTTATTCCAAAACTAGTGGGTTTTCTCTACTGGAAATTTTAAATAAACCTGTCATTATTGCTTACTTTGATTAAAAATTTGTCGTTTCCTTATTTCACTTGCTAGATTTTAGGATCAATCAGATTTACTTCTGAATCTTCGGAGCGATTTCTCTCAAATAATTCTTTGCCAAACGTAACAAACTAAGTTACTAATACAGAGACAGGGAAACTGAATCATGAAGAGGGCAGCATCCCTATAAATCAGAAAAGGACGTGTGGAACTTTGGAAATTAAGAAAAAAGGAGCAGAATTTGGAATTTTAGACCTAACCGTATAAACTTGTTTATGTGAGGAATTGCAGCACCAACAGTTCTAGATGGACAACACTCTACAGCATCTCAGCTTCACACAAAAATGCAAGTGTAACGTTGGCCCGGAAGGAGAGCTCAAAACTGCAGCCAGACGGTGTTCGCTTGCCCATCCACCTCCTACGGGAATCCTCTGTCCTCTCTCCCATCCCCCACCCCAACCCCAGACAGTTTGCCCATGAAGGACACAGACTTGAGAAGACTTAGATTCTTCCCTTGGCCACATCGATGCCACCCCTTCTTCTTTTGATACGTCCTTCCCACAGGTGTTTACCATAGCCCCATTTCTGCCCCAAACGGTGACCAAATAGAAACTTCTGCTGCATCTTGCTGTCTCCAAAAACATTGTGCCAGTAGAGAAAGCCCTGGATAGAATACCTATATTAGTGCACACGTTTATGGGCATCTGCTGGGTCACTTAACTTCAGTGAACCTCTGGTCCCTCACTTGTAAAAAGGAGACACTGTTTCCTTATCACAAAGTTGAGGTGAAGCTCTTTTGGAAGAAAAAGGTGTGAAAATGCCCTGGAAACATTACTGCATGTGAGTACGGGAGTCACTGTTAAACCCTCCCCTGTGTGCTATTTTCCCATTTCCCTAAGTCATTCCTCTCACGGGTGATCAGGAGTGATGATGGGGATTAGTGCGATACAATGAAGTTAGAGAAGATGAATAAATTAAAACTATTGAGCTTCAACAACGAAGTGTCGCTGAAAATTGTCCAACAATAAAGAGCCAGGGTCAGGATTTCTCACCCTCTTCCTAGCAGTTAGCTACTTTTTGCTTTCCCCCAGTTCCCATGGCTGCTTGCTGGTACAGTTATGCAAATTGTTAACTGGGTGTAGCACTCTAGTAGGCAGCTTGGAGATAGACTGGGTCAAACTCCAAAATAATCCAGAAGATTGAAACCTACTGGAAGGGGGGACCCTAGAAATTTGCGGCATGGTAAATGAGTCCTTCCTGCTCAAGTGCAATTATTTGTGTTTTTGGTAAAATCTTGATAGAGGTTATTGTCGTCATAGGAGACTATTGAGTCTCCTGGAAGTTTCGGATTAAGGGGGAAAAAAAAGAGCAACTGTTTGGATTACTTTAAATTCAACAAATTCAAACAAAAAGCAATGCGAGCTGTTTCATAGTAGACCTATTTCCTGCCACCAAGAAACCACGAACGGGGATGATTAGAAGTGGAGGGCCTAGAGCTCCTCACTCCCTCGTTTCCGACATCCAGTGAGTTCCTTAAGTTTCCTGCACCTGTTTAATCACCCATAAAATAGAAGCAACAAAGCCTATCTCATGGAGTTACCATGGAAATTAAGTCAATACACGCGAAGCACTTAGAACTTCTCAATAGATATTAATACGACCGATTCACACTGTCTGGGAAAGCAATCAGAAAAGAGTTCAAATCAACAAACATTTGATGAAGACTACATACCTTTAAAATATGTAAGAAGCACGGTGGGGAATCCTGACTGACCTCAGGGAGTATGTAGTCTAGTGATAAGAGAAACCCAACGGAGGAAAGCTAGCAGTTTGTGAAGGCTTCCCACGCCAAGCACTGTGAAGCAGTTTCCACACAAGAACATAAGAGAGAATACTTTATCCTCAACTCCTGTCATTTTTCTTATAAATGAGGAAACTAGCCCAGAAGCTAAATAACTTGCCCAAAGTCACCTAGCTAGTTAGTCTGGGAATCAGAATTTCAATTCGGGTAGGACTTAAAAATTTAGAGTTAATTCCATTATATATGTTTCTGTTGTTAGTTTGCAGACATAAACAGTATAAAATAGGGCAGAAGGAAAAGCACAAAGGAAAGAAGATACAGTTCAGACTTCAGTGAGTAAAGAGATCCATAAAGGTTTTACAGAGGAAGTGGTATTTAAGGTTGAGCTTTGAAGGTTGGAAGCATTTTCATAATTGGAGAAACTTCTGGGCAAGAGAACAGTCTGAGTAGAAGTATACGTGACAGATAACCTGTTGCTTGGTCCACCCCGGCATCTGCCCACCAGTTTCTGAAGACATTCCTCCAACCTACAGGATTACTGTGGGATTTATCAAACAGTCCCTCTGGCCACTATTAGGTGGTCTCCGTAGGGACCTGTTCTGTAGGAATGCTGAGACTAGAAGAGTTTTTCTGTGTCTGGCTGAAGCTAAGGTAAACCTTGGGATTGTCCCTACCATCTCTTTGGCTCTATGGGCTGGGGATGAGAACATAAGAGAGAGTTTTAAGGGCATCCAGACTGTAGGGTGTAGGACTTACCAAGCGCTGCCACATTCCTGTTAATGGTTATCCTGCGACACCAGAATCTTTATGGCTAATCCGCTCTTTTGCTTCATGTAGTTTGAGTTTTTGTCAGCCTGCAAGAATACGTGGTTTAAGCAATACGGTATGAACATACTTGAATTTTTATTTATTTTTTTATTTTTAAAATTTTATTTTTATATTTTTTAATGTTTATTTTTGACAGAGAGAGAGAGAGAGAGAGACCAAGCGTGAGCGGGGGAGGGACAGAGGGAGGGAGACACAGAATCCCAAGTAGGCTCCAGGCTCTGAGCTCTCAGCACAGAGCCGGATGCGGGGCTCGAGCCCACAGACCACGAGATCATGACCTGGGCTGAAGTCGGACGCTCAACCAACTGGGCCACCCAGGCACCCTGAACATACTTGACTTTTTAAAAAATGCTTGCTTATTTGAGAAAGAGAGTGCAAGTAAGCAGGAGTGGGGGAGGGGCAGAGAGGGAGAGAGAGAGAGAGAGAGAGAGAGAGAGAGAGAGAGACAATCCCAAGCAGGCTCCGCAGGACCATGAGATCATGACCTGAGCTGAAATCAAGAGTCAGACACTTAACCAACTGAGCTACCCAAGGAGCCCCATACCTGACTTTTTTAAAGATACACCATTTCTATAGGTAATTTTCTTTTAACCAAACAATACTGGTTCGCTAAAGATTTTTAAAGTCTAAGAAAAACAAAAGGAAGAAACTGAAAATCACCTATACTAACCGTTGGTGATTAAACTACTTTATCCTTGAACCAGGTGGTTATGACAACCCGGCATAGAGATATTCGGCATGCTATAGGAAATTCAGGTCTAAAGGTTAGTCACTAGCATCAAGGTGATTGGCTCCATTTGTTAAGCAGTTATCGGCACCAACGCTGTGCCAACCATTGTGCTGAGTGATAAAAGCGAATAAATCCCCCGCCCTACCTGCGCAGCTTGCACTCTAATGAGAAAGGAAGATAAGTGACACAATAACATTGTGCTGTGACAGCAGAGGGCACAGAAGGGAACATAAACTGGACCAGAAGACTCAGGGAAGACTTCTCAGAGGGGACGGTGCTAAATGCCCGGCACATTACCATACCAGATTTAGATCTCATAACTCAGGCTTCACCCAACGCAGAAGACGAGCTGTTTGGTCTCAGTGTGCATTGATTTCTTTGCTACATACACATTTCTTATTTTTCTGGGAA